GGATGTGGCCGCAGCGGTCCAGCGGGATGTTGTCGGGCTTGATGTCCCTGCCCCGGAGGAGCGCAGCGGCTGAGTGGACTCCCACTGCCGTGCCGGCCCCGCCCCGCCCTGGGCCCCCTGCTCAGTCCGCGCACACCCTCTAGGCCTCTGCATCCCCCTCGGGCCCCGCCGCCCCTCGGCACCTGTCCTGCCCACCTGTGCACGTAGCCCAGCCGGTGCACCGAGTCTATGGCCATGACGATCTCCGCCAGGTAGAAGCGCGCCATCTCGGCCGGGATCCGCTCCCCAAACTTGCTGAGCAGCGTCAGCAGGTCCCCGCCCACGTAGTACTCCATGACCAGGTACTGCGAGGGGGCGTGTCGGCGGGTCAGTAGTCCCTATCCCTGGGCAGAGTCCCCACAGTCCCACCCCCAAGAGAGCCTCGGATAGCTCGAAAGACAAATCAGAGACACTCCTAAGAGAATAGCCTCTCCCAAGACATCACGAGACAGAAATTCACTCCCCTAAACACTCAGAGAAAGAGCCCCCAGCCCCACTAATGCCCGCACTGCAGACCCCAGTGTCCTCGCCGAGTCACGGGCCCACACACACAGGTCCTGGCGAGGCTCCCATGCCACAGAGGCGGCCTTTACAGTCCTCAGGAATGGTCGGGAGCAGCGCAGCGGGACGCTGTCCCCCATCCCTCATCCGTCCAGACACGGTCCCACCACACGTAGCCCCAACTCCTGCAGGCATTCTGGGGCACCCCCACTCCTATAAGTTCCTCCCCCACGCCCCCGCCCCACTCACTGACAGCATGGGGTCTGTCCCTCTTCCTAGTCACCCGGCCTGGCGCTCACCAGGTAGTTCTCGTCCTGGAAGGCGAAGTGCAGCTGCGTGATCCAGCGCCGGTCTCCATTCACCAACACATCCCTCTCTTCTCGGAAGCACGACACCTGCGAGACACCCGGAGCTCAAGTGGGAGAAGGGGTGGCAGCGTCCCAACGCCCCCCACACCCAGTCCGCACCCTCACCTCGCTTCTCTTAAGCATGTCCCACTTATTCATGATCTTCATGGCGTACACCTGGCCCGTCTGCTTCATCTTCACCACCGCTACCTGAAGGCCCAAACCGGGGCGACTGGCGGGGAGGTGCTCAGAGAAACGCGAGGCTTTGCCCCGGCCCGGCCCCACCCCTTTCTCCACCCAGCCGCCCC